CGTTGCAATTAGTTTTAACCTATATATGTTGCAACTTATAATGTTGCAACATATGTTGCAACTAATTTTAGCTTATAATGCAACATTTTGTAAATTTGAAATCAATTGCTATACCATCTTTAGTCTATATTAAAATTATTTCTCAACTTAATGTAGTACCTTTTGACTGATTAAGATGGTTTGTGAATAGTAGCAAATTATTTTATTTTACATACCAAGACGAGATAAATATTTCGCTTGTATTGATTTTGTAATTCGAGGATCGATAAGAAGCTGATGAAGATATTTCTTGCTTAGCAGGTGAAATACAAATTGGCTTATCTCTACATTTTTAGTCTCAATGATTTTTATCAAATCTTCAGACTTTACTTTATAGGCCCATCTGCGTCATCCATCATAATATACCTTTCTTGGTTCTACTTCAGTGATTTTTATCAATTTCAGCATTAAAGCAGATAGCCATTTGACTTTTATAAACACTAGGTCTACAATACTCATGTGGAATATCTCTTAATCTATTAATATCATAGTTATAGAACATCTTGTTTTTTTTGTCCAAATGAGGCAAAAAGACTATACATATAGTATAAACTATATTCTCGCTTAGAAAGTAACTCTTGCAGAGCATCTCTTATGTGAAAAGCCCATTGCTAAGGCATTTCATGAGGTCTAATAATAGATAATAATCATATTGTCTTTCTATTTCAACCACTTTTTCAAACCTATAGTTATTATTATAAGTCTGAACATTATGAACATGCTTCAAATCATATCCAGAATAGAGATTGTTAGGTTTAGGTACAGATTTATTATAAACTTTATCTAAAATAATTGTAATACTTTGACTGGGCATATTTGATGATTATATGTGATAATAAATAATAAATAAGACTTATAGCAATTTTAGTAATATATAGCGTTTTTAGTGAATATTTAGCGTTATAGCAGTTTATAGCAAATATATTATAATAAAATATCAGATTCATTTTAATTTGATTACAAGCATATCAAAGGTTTATATAAGGTTCACATCCGGTTATGCTAACTACTTTTTTCTTATATTTATTCGAAAAAAAGATAATCTATCAGATATATTATCAGGTCAATAGATCAAGGGGAAGGAGAAAGCCTTTTTCTTTTGAAAGTCTATGACAAAGAAGGCTGAAAGACGTCATACATATTCACATGTATGTAAATCAGTTTGTGGATCTCAGGGGTTTTCCCAGTTATAATTCAGTTAATTAGATCTAAGATAATGTAACAGCTAAATTATTTCAGTATTATAAAAAATTGAATAACATAAGATCCTTACCAGTTCCAAGTGCTGGTGAGTTTCTATAAATCACGAGATGATTGACTAATCATTAGCCAGATAAGTTTAATAGAATTTGGAAAAAATATACATGCAAAAAAAATATTGATTTTTCTGATGGTAGAGTCAGGCAGTGATGTCCATTTTCTATGTCCCAAGTATTTGCTGTCCCAGCTATATGTCCCAACTATATGTCCCAACTATGTCCCATATATGTCCCAAATGTCCCAAATGTCCCATCAATGTCCCATCAGTGTCCCATCAGTGTCCTAACTATGTCCCATGACAACACTGGAGTCAGGACTACTGGTCAAAATTGCGCAGAAGTAAGATTAACATCCGGTTAAATTTATCTTCTGAAACATATGATTTGATTAGCTTATTTTCTGATAGCAGAGTCTGGACTGCTAGTCTGAGCTTGACAAAATTGTGCAGAAAAATGGAGGCACAGTGGTCAAAAGAAATATATATTTATTCAGGCATAAACATTTTTATTAATATGATCTCGAAAAATTTAATTTTGAGAGACGACTAAGCTCGTTAAGCTTTCTGTTTTAAAATTTCAGCAAGTATATAATCTTTTTCATTCTTAGTTAGATTTAAGACATATGATGGGGGGATAGATCTAATCCATGCTATTTTTTCCTTGCTTATACTATTAAAAAGCTTATAAGCCTTTTCAGATCTCTCCATCCTTTTCCGCAAAGCTTCATCAGAACACTTTGCTTTAGAAATCGCTAATACTTGAGATCCATCCTTACCATGTTCGGGTTTTAATTCTTTATATTATTTAAATACATCTTTTCCAAAATCAAAATAGCCATAAATAAGGCTCCAAGATGCATCTTCATTTTTATTTTTGGCACTATCAATCTTATTAGAGAGTCACAAAAAAATACTGATTCCATTTTCACTTGCTTCTTCCAAGTTATCTCTCGCATTGTGAATAGATACATCAGTTAATAATTCTTCAATAAGTTTTTTTAGCATAGACGATACCTTCTTCCCACCAGTCTTTTTCACTTTCTTATTAGAGGGTTTTTCGGTAGATGCAGATGATTCCTAGTATATTTTTTCTATTATAATCCTTATTTGAGCATCGCACTTCTCTATTCACCAGATACTTTTCGAGACACTTCTGGTGAAAGATGTGTCCACACGAAGCTAGGGTAAATTCTTTGTATGACAGGTTCAATGCAAGTGAATAAATCTCTTTTCCACATAATGAGCATAGATTCACATTTGAGATACTGATATGTGTAGCAAGAGTGCTAGTATAATAGAGGATATTTTTTGCGAGCACTACGATGTGTGTTCTATTCATACCGTCTTTGTATATGACTAGTCTTAAGCAAAAAAATGATAATTCTGTTTTATATCACTTGTAAATTTCGCAGAAGAAAAGATTCTCCGGATTTCCACCCCTTTCTTGATCTTTGATCTGCAAAAGAAAAGTTATCCTTTATTTAGACTAACCCTTACAGAAGAAAAAATATATCCTTGAAGTCATGATATTATTTTATCTTTTTTCTGAGCATGTGAAGAAAAAAGGGCATTTCGTTATTATGTTAATCCTCCTTGCCAATCAGACGATTAGCATACACATCCCCAAATCCTTTCATTTACATGAAAGTGATTGCTAAAAGTAGTATACAACCTAGATGATAAGATTATTACTATAATGATCTACTATATTTTTTTTATGACTTATTCAGCACGATGGACAAAGTGAAGAATTTTACAACGATAGAAGTCTTCAAATTCTTTACTATGGTTTAAAATTATACCTGGATAGAGCTTTAAGAATTTATTGTGGAAAATGCCTGGTCACGAGTTGGACTATTGGGATGAGGTACCATCACAGCTTTGGTCGGACTAGTTCTAGAGGAATCATCTGAAGAATCAGAGACATGATTTAATGGAATAGGTGCAGTTAATTTCTGCCTGAAGTGATTCCTCTAGAATTAGCCCTGATTGAGGCATAAGTACTGTTTAGCTTCATATCCAACATGTGAGCATCATTGATATCATAATTATATAAAATCACGTAAATAATTTGGTCATTTAGCTGTTTTTATTAATAAATGCATTTAATATAAAACATATAATTCATTTTTGCAAAGATTTTTTCTATAGTAGTTATTATAATGTTCTTCACGCCTGAATTTCTATACAAACGTATTAATGAAACTAGAATACAAGATCTTTTAAACAATTGCTATATTGCAAATATTCCATATTTTCCATTTTTTCAGAGCATAATAATGATCTTAACCCGAAACCTTACGTAAAATTCGTATTATATCTTTTATTTAATAAGCTTGAAGTTCACTCCTTTATCATCATAAATATGTCTTATGATTAGATCGATAGGGATGACAAAAGATACTTCATCATTATCTTCAGAGGTAGCCTCATAAATTTCTCATAAACTACCATCTTAATCGTAAACTGAAGCATCTGAGTCTCCATGATCTCCTTTACACAGCAATTAATTTATTAAAAAAAAGATCAAAAAAAGAATTTAATAAATGATGACTTACCAAATTTACCATTAACTTCGTGACCTATCAAACCTTGAACATGTTTGTCTTCGTTAAACAATTTAGATAGGATACAAGATTGAAAAATAGGTAACATATATCCTTCAGTATGTCCTGTCTCTCTGCTGACCTTATGGACATTTATTACGTCACTGTCAGGTTCCAAAATAGTTTGGAACTTGTGAATAATTGTTTCAGCTCCACACGGTTTGTTAGAAGATATTTTGCTACACTGATCAATCTCGCAAAACGTGTAATCTATAAGTTTTTCTGAATTATCAATATTTAAGTTCTGGTATCTAACAATAGCTTCAGATTTGCCCTAAAAAATAAGATTAGTTTAGTGTTATAGGTAAGGTTGCTTGTCTAAACTCATTTTGGATTTGGCAAAATGATAAAACCTTTAGTTTCGCTAAATTTTTACTAAGTGTTTGATATAATTTCGCCATTTTTATAAGCTTTGATATAGTTTTACTTTTTCCAAATTTCGCAGATTTTTTAATAAGGTTTTAATATAATTTAACCAAGTTTTAATTTTACCATTTAGATGTCTGTCTAAACTCTTAATTTCGTCTAGCAACCTTAGTTATAGGGTTCACAATTTCTATTACGGTAACTACATATATTATCTATCTTTTCTGGCTGGATTACTGAGCTACCCTCACCGCTGACTCCATATTTTACAGTAAGAATATATTTTTCATCACGATTTTTTACCTTAAATAATACATCTAATGTGCATGCAGAATCATCTTCAGAATCACTTATACTGATTCCAGGCTTGAGATGTTGAAACCAGAGGTAAATATTACTTGATGGTTTCATAGTGCCATAATTGACCAATAGAGGGTAACTCTTGTACTCTGCTGGAATGTTATGAACTGGTGTCCCTTTTGTCAGATTTACCACAGTGATAATGTATTCTTTTCTTTCGACTATTCCAGGGTATGTAAGGGACAATGGAACTTTTTCTCCAAAATTTTTCCAGAGATCAAGTGTGACTTTAACCATTTTTTATAAAGATTCTTATCACTAACGCTCGAAATATTGCGATCACTAACTATTGGAGCTATAAACATTTGATATTATTGTTAATAAATTATTTTATAATATGTAATATTGAAATTAACTATAGCAACCAGCAGACTCAAGTAAAAAATTTAATTGTTACAAGCTTATTATGTGAGGTTGCATATATGAATTGATTGATAACTCTTTCCCGATTTTCTTGAGTTGTTCAATGATTTCACTGAGATTTGTAGAATCAATGATGTTTGGATCGTTTCTGGCTTTTGTCAAATTAGAGAGTATTTGATCATTAACTTCACATTCGTCAATCGCTACAAAAGCACCAAGTTCTTCACTTAATTCGTCAGCCCTATTAAAAAATAATAGACAAATTATTTATAAGGTTAATAATTTAGGGATTTTATTAATACAAACATATGTCATTTCACCATTGTCTATTGTAGTTTTGGAGTCTGAATTACTGGTCTCTAGATATTGATAAAGATACTCTCTGATAGTTTTCTTCACGTTATTTTCTTCACCCTTTTCCAAGAAATTTGTATTGAAAATGTATTTGTGACGCCTTTTCACATATGCATATACATTTGTGCTTAGATTTTTCCCAGGGTATTTATCTGAACTCCATTCTGGGATTTTCTTAATCTCGTCTAAAAGTACAGTGGCGCTCAAAAGTATTGCATCACCCGAATACAAAATTTTAAATAGCATTATCTTATGATTAAAAAGGCGCAGCAGTATCAAAATTATTTATTAGACTCATCATAACGAGTCTATTCAATGGTATAAAAATTGTTATATAGTAATGCGATAAAAAAATTTTAAATACTTGATTTTGATCATTTATGCGATCCTTTTCTTTTGATTGATTTTTTATTAAAATATTTATGTAAATAAAAAAAATAAAAATTAAACCAATTATATTAAAACTTTGGTAAATAATTTTCTACCATTTAATATAGCCGTCATTAGCCTTTATTACATCATTTATACGAGTTGGCATAATATCAACCAACTATTTGCATACATCAGACTCCCAATTCAACCAAAATTTTTGAATTGCATTCCACAACTGATCCTGTATTCTAACAGGTATTTCAAGCTGCCTCAGACGACGGTCCATTTCATTCCAAAGGTGTTCTATTGGGTTTAAGTCAGGGGACTATGCTGGCCAATCAAGAACTTTAATTCCATTGTTCTCAAACCATTGCTTAGTAAGATTTGCAATGTGTTTAGGATCATTATTTTATTGAAAGATAATATTATCTTTATCCATTCCATGCCACTCGATGGTTCCTAAAAGGTCTTTCTTCAAAATTTGACGATATAAATCACCATTCATATGTCCATAAATTCAGCATATGTTACCAATCCCACCAGAAGTAAAACATCCCTACACCATAATATTACCCACCCAAATTTGACTGTTGATTTAACATGATGATCACATAATAGTTCATTTGGTTTTTTCCAACAATATTCTCTACCATCTGACCTATATATCATAAATTTTGACTCATTTGATCAGATAACTTTATTCTAATCCTCTGCTGTCCATGATTTATATTTTTTAGCAAATTTTATACGTGCAATTTTATGCTTTTTTCGAAGGTATGGTTTCCTACGCTTAACCCTTGCACTCATTCCATTTCTATGTAAGGTTCTCTTAATTGTACATTTATTAACTTCAATTTGTTCTTCTGTTTTTAGTTTTTTTCGGATTGCAACAGCATTAGTACATTCACTAGTTGTAATTAGTTTTAGAACTTTTCGTTCATATCGCCCAGTTAAGAGTCGCAGATGTCCAGATTTAGGCTGGTCTTTAAAGTTACCAGTTTTATCTTTATGTTACTTGGTTCTTATTACAGTTGATTGGGAA